AAATTTTGATTTAACGGAGCGTTTGATTTATTTTTTATTTTTTTTTCGTTTCGGCTCGATTTACCTCAAACTCATACATAAATCTTATTAAAATTATGCTATCAAACACCCTCTAAAAGTTTATGCTCGGTAATCACCTCCGATGACTCCAGTTGCCGCCATTGTGTTCGACAGTTGCCACCGCAAGGTCTTCGGACACCACCATCATGGTCGTTTGCACAGTCACGAATCAACACAAACCCCCATTGGCCTACTATCACCAATGACAAGCACTCAATGGTATTACACTGCATTTGTAGTGTGCTCACCTAAACTTCAAGTTTTACATACATACCAAAATGGGTATTTCACTTTTTAACAGTTAAAATGATGGTGGTTATGTGATATGAAAGGTTTGGATGGTATAAATGTAAAAAATAAACTGTGTTAGATATGTAATTACATAGGAATTGAGAGAAATATATGTAAATGACCCCTTAAGAAAATGAGGCGAAAATAGAGTTTCCATATCTTATTCCTTGAAAAGATCACTTATTTACTTGAATCTCAGTGAACTAACGGGAAATTGAAATATATTTTATATTGCTCTTTTCATTTAAATTTTTAATATTTTAAATTGAAATTTTATATTTAATTTTGAAATCAGTGTAAATTATGTTGAAATTATGTGTATTTTATTATCTATAAATTCATTTAAAGTTCAATTTGTGTATAAATTATGCATGGTATGAAATGTTTTCATGACTGCATTATGTCATCTATTCATGGTTTCCATACTATTTCAATAAAAGAAGATTTACATACATACCATTTAATTTCTATTTATTTACATATCTAACACCAAAATTTCAATTTTTTACTTATATACCCCCTTTTCTATGCATGAAAAGTTGTATTTCACTCTTTAAGAGTTAGAATGGGTGATATATAAGCCAATGGATGCATTTTTAATAAATTTAATTTTTTGTTTGTGTTTAATGTTAAAAATGCAAACAAATTTTGCATTTAGCCTTTTTTGAATTGTATTAATTTATTAAAAATAAATACTAACATAAATTAATAAAATATATAATAATATTTTATAATCTTAAACTCAAAAAATGTTTTAATATTAAATAGTAATATTTTTCTTAAATGAGTTTTAGAAAATTTGAAATAAAATAAAAATAAAAATAAACTATCAAAAAATTTAATTAAAATATGGAAGTTAAGTTGTTAATATATTTAATTAGTTATAATAAGTAAATTTTGTGTTTATAAAATATAATTATAAAATGATATAAATTAATGTTGAGTTTATAAATTTGTAAGGCATCAACTTCCTATATTTGATGATAAGTTGATGCAACAATTAGAGTCTCTTGTTGAATGTAGAGTGGGTGTTTGTTGTAATTAAGTCTCAAATGAAATCATAGATCGAGCATTTTGCGAGTAGATGGAGAGAAACATTAACTATGAAAGCGACCAAACCGAGCGACTTCAATATACTTTTTTTTAAAATTTTATTGTATTGTCAACTATTTTTCAATAAATTTTAAATTTAATTTCAAAAATTTGTTGTCCAAAATTTGTTACTTCCACTGTGAAAGTTTGGTCAAAATTAAGTTATTTTTCATTTTTAAGATAATTTAAATACAATCCCGTAAATTTAATTTTTATTTTTCTTCAATTATTATTATTATTTTGTTTTTAATAATTAATTCATTAAACTGTTTAAATCTTTATTTAATTTATAACATTTTATAATTATATTTAATAAACTCAATTTACTTATTATAATTAATTAAATATACTAATTTTTAATTTCTCATATTTTATTCTAATTTTTGATATTTTATTTTAATTCTAACATTTTATTTCAAAATTTCTAAAAAAGATATTTTAAAAAAATATTAACATGTAATATAAAATTTTTTGAAGTATAAGATTATAAAATATTATTATGTATTTTATCAAATTCTATTTTTCATATTTATTTTTAATAAGCTAAAATTATTCAAAAAAGATTAAAACTCAAAATTTGTTTAACATTAAACACAAGGAAGTTTTGCTTTCTATTAAACACGCATTGATGCCGTTCGAATTTGCTCCCTTCTCTTAATTACTCTTTAGCCGGCCCCTTTTAACTAATTACAGTTAATTAAGCAGTTAATTAAGTGCCCCACTTGAGAATTTAGCCTTGAAATTATCCATTTCTCTCATGTTGAAATAAAGAGCACATTATGAAAAAAACAATAATAAAAAAGTGGCACAATATAAGAACTGCACACTTATATTGTGCCACGTGATATTAAATATTTGAGAGGGTATGTGTGTAAATATGAAGTTTAGGAGTGTGCTATGTGTGTGAAAGCCCCTTACTTTCATAATGGACTTTCAGTATGCTTCAACATAGAATCTTTCAATCTTTAAAATGCTGACAACACTGAGTTTGACTCGTAGGTATACAACGTCATGGTTCATATTCGACGTGTGTTCGACCATACCTTTACGACTCATTAGTCTCCTCGTCTAGAAACATCGAACATGGCTTCAAGTAACTCAATATGCTTCGGCTTCGGTAGCTTCATCGAGTCAGCTCGCTCTTTGCAAGATTTTTCGTCTTTCTCTTTAGGTCTCTAACTCACATCTGAGTACAATAAAGTATATGGCGATGAAGTGAGTTTGGTCAGCAGATTTCCTTCTGTGTATTCCCCTCTCATACACAATTCTGATGAAGTCATATATCTAACACCCAAAGCTTGATATTTACAGTATTTATAACACCATGGTGTCATAAACCTATGCATGAAAAAGTGTATTCCACGCTTAAAAATATAATGATGATGGTATTTTTGACGTGATGTTAAAGAAATGAGAGCTATGCATGTTAATATGAATGTGTAGATGTCAGACATGTAAGAACATAAGAATTGTGTGGTATGCATGTAAATTTCACTAATATTTATACTTCAGTCCTAATTCATTATAATTTCATGTGACTGACCTACAGGTTAACGCTTTCCGCGGTACATTCTGCAGGATGTTTCAACTACTTCATTGCCGATCGATATCCTGATGCGAGACCAACATGGATCGGTGCAGTAATGCCGAACTTTGGAGCAGGAAGTCTGTGGATTAGATACGTGGCGGCAATGTATTGGACGATAACGACTATGACAACGAATGGATATGGTGATTTGCATGCTGAGAATCCAAGAGAAATGCTGTTTGATATTTTCTACATGTTGTTTAATTTGGGAATGAAAGCATACCTCATTGGAAACATGATGAATCTCGTCGTTCATTGGATGAGCCGCACGAGAAACTTTGTATGTTCCCTTCTGCTTCTTACTCGGTTCGCCTTTTTGATCATTGTGGGGAGATTTGATCTTATGATTGTAGAACTAGAAACAAATAACAACGGTTTTTGCAATATTAAGGAATAAGGAAGAAGACAAGTATTTGAGGAAAAACTCGAATGCTAAATAGTTGAGATAATGGTAAAAATGACAAGTACGAGAAGTAAAAATAAGTTAAGAAAAAGGGAAATTATATATTTAGCACACAATTCTTCTGTATTTACATGTCTCACACCTACACTTTCATA